AGGGAGGGTCCAGGGTCAGCCAGAGGGGGGTGCACACAGTGCCTGCTCCCCACAGGAAAAGCCGCCTGGGCACACCTGCAGCCACTCCCAACACGCATCTTTCCCTCCTGGGACATGGCCATCCTACCCCTGGGCCTGGAGGGACTGAGGAATCATGGCACCCTCCACGCTCTGCCCTTGGCCATGATACGAACCTGAGGCCCCCTTCTGGGCCTGAAAACCCTGAACCTCAACTATAGTGAGGGGATCCTTCACCGAGGACGGCAGGGCCAAGGGCCCCCTGACCCGTCTGCCACACCCTGCAGGACTGGGCCAAGGCGGGCCCCCACGAACAGCCCTCGGGCACCAGCCTACAGCGGAGGAAGGACAGAGCGGAGCACCCCCGAGACACGGAGCCAGGCCTGGCCAGTGGGGGCACCCTGGGCCCCAGCGGAGAGGAGGCGCCGCGACCCCGCATGTCCCCTGCCACCATCGCAGCGAAGGTAGGCGCCGGCTTCTCTGGCAGCCCAGCCAGGACCCCATCTTCACTGCCAGGCCAGGTTCCCCCGGCGGGAGACACCTACAATCCAGGGGCGGGGGGAGTGGGGGATAGGGAGCCAGGCTTCAGCCTGCAGTCTTACCACCCCCAGCACGGTGAGGAGGTGTCCCCCGCGGCCAGTGACCTGGCCATGGTGTTGACCCGCGGCCTGAGCCTGGAGCACCAGAAGAGCAGCCGGGACTCGCTGCAGTACTCCAGCGGCTACAGCACACAGACCACCACGCCCTCCTGCTCCGAGGACACCATCCCCTCCCAAGGTAGGCCCTGGGGCCGGGGCTGGGTCACCGGGCCTTCACAGCCCCGGCCCCGGCCCACTGCATCCCGTGCCCCCAGGCTCCGACTACGACTGCTACTCGGTGAACGGGGACGCGGACGGCGAGGGCCCGGCCGAGTTCGACAAGTCCTCCACCATCCCCCGCAACAGCAACATCGCCCAGAACTACCGCCGCCTGATCCAGACCAAGCGCCCGGCCTCCACTGCGGGGCTGCCCAGCGCCTCGGGCGCGCCCCCCGGCGTGGCCACCATCCGCCGCACGCCGTCCACCAAGCCTGCCGTGCGCCGCGCGCTCTCCAGCGCCGGCCCCATCCCCATCCGGCCGCCCATCGTGCCGGTGAAGACGCCCACGGTGCCCGACTCCCCCGGCTACGCGGGGCCCACGCGAGCGGGCAGTGAGGAGTGCGTCTTTTACAGCGACGAGGCCGCCTCGCCCCTGGCCCCAGACCTGGCCAAGGCCTCCCCGAAGAGGCTGAGCCTGCCCAACACGGCTTGGGCCAGCCCGGCCCCCGAGGCGGCCGGCTACGCAGGGCTGGCGGCGGACGACGAAGACCAGCAGCGGCAGCTGGCCGCCAACCGGCACAGCCTGGTGGAGAAGCTTGGAGAGCTGGTGGCGGGGGCCCACGCCCTGGGCGAGGGCCAGTTCCCTTTCCCGTCCGGCCTCGCCGCCACCGCCACCGCTGCTGTCCCCACCGAGGAGACGCCCAGCCCGCCCCCTGCCGCCTCTGGCGAGCCCCCGGCCGAAGACATGCTGGTGGCCATCCGCCGCGGGGTGCGGCTCCGCAGGACCGTCACCAACGACAGGTCGGCGCCCCGCATCTTGTGATGGCGCCACCCTCCCGCCCTGTGGCCCCCGCGAGAGGCAGGTGGCCCGGCAGGTGACCCGCAGCCGCTCAGAGCCAAGGCACAGCGAGGAGACAGCAGAGCCAGGCAAGCTTTCGGATTTTTGTTTAAGTCACGTGGGACGGAAAGACACTCATCTTGGATTTCAGCATTTAAACCGGAAGTGATTTATTTAACAAAGCTCACAGCTCTGAGCCTGCAGGTCTTGAACTGGGTTTGGAGCCTGTTTTATATGTTTCTTGCCTGTTCTGCTCCTCCTCTTCCTCTTCCACAGGCCCTGCCTCGCCCCCCCCCGCCCCCAACCCCCGTCTCTGGGAGCCTGCTCTGGGCCCACAGTGCCCTAGCTCAGGCGACCTGGCCCCGCTTCTCCCTGGTCGGTGGTGCCTGGGGCTTCCCCTGAATGCCGGTCCCCTCTGCCCCTACCCGGTCCCTTCTCCTTCCTTCTTTCTCCTCTCCCCTCTCCCAGGTTCCTCTCAATCAGGGAGGCAGGCTGGGCTGTTGAGGGGCCAGGTGCCCAGTCGGCTAAGGTGTCAGATTTGACTGAAAAGCTACACAGAATGGCACTGGAGGCGGGGAGGTTGAAGTTGAGGTTGAGGTTGGGAGGCCCAGGCTACTGTGGAGGAAAGAGGCCCACAGGCCCAGGGCCCCAAGTTGAGTGTTGGGGATCTGTTTGGAGGTGGCTGTGGAGCCCGAGGGGCTTCAGGTCCTAGCTTCCCCTCGCCGGGGAGGTGTGGCTGGGGCGAGGGGCAGGGCAGCAGGGAAGGAATCCGGAGGCCCGAGGGGCATCTGGCCAGCCCTCCAGGAGCTGCTTTCAGATGTGTGGTCCTCACCTGGGCGCGTTGAGAATTTAACTCTGGTGGCACTTTGGTCCAAGGGTGGTTTCAGCCACCTCTGGGGATAGGGGCTGGAGCTGTAGAGGGTGTGGGGGGTTATTTTATGAATATAATAATAGAGCTGACTGGACAAGGACCGTGTGTGGGGACAGGGTGGACAGTACAGGGTGTCCGAGAGTGCCTGAGGGACAGGGGTCCTCACAGTGGCCTGGTGGGCCCACGGCAGGAGGAGGAGGGCCACATTGGCTTCCCCAAAGCCAAAATAAGGTCGGAGAGGGCCAGGGGCAGGGGGCAGCACGTCTCCTTGGATGGGGCTGGGGTGTAGTCCAGGGAGCTTGGCTTTGACTCTCTGTTGCCAGAGGAGATGCCACCCTGGTGCAGTCCCCTCGGAGTCCAGTCCTGTGCTGGCGGTGGGTGTGGGGTGGGGGTGCCCGCCAACTCGAAGCAGGTAGAAGCAGGTGCGTCTAGGGCTAGTGGAGGGCTTCTTGTTGTCCTGCAGGCCAGCAGAGAGGGTGGCCGGGCTCGGAGGGCAGAGGGACCACAGGGTGCAACCGGGGGGGCTGGGGGTGGGGGGCTCCCGGGGTCAGGAGAGCAGGCTTTTCCTGGTCTGGATGGGATGGGGTTGAGTCTGAGTCTCAGCGCCAGGCTGGAGCTCCTGGTAGTTCTGCAGGGAACCGGGATCCAAGCAAGGTGGCCAGCCAGGTCTGGGGAACCAAGGCCGCCCCCCCCCCCCCCACAGGCTCCCAAGGGCAGACGGAGAATGGTATCTGTAAGTTGCTAGGTCTGAGAACAGCCTTCCTGAACGCTCCAGCCAACCAGAGAGCCCAGGTTAGGGTGCCTGGAGAGAGGGCCTGAAAAGGCCAGGAGAGCAGGTGGCCCGTTGGGGAAGGCCCGGGGTGGGGTTTACACTGCCCCTTCCCTGCAGGGCTGTGCTGGCGTTTACCCGGTGGGCGGAGGGAGTAAGATGCAGGATGTGTGATGTTAGCAGGGTAAGGAGTGGGGGGTGGGGGGGTGCTTGGGAGGCCCAAGGAGGGGGTGGGCATGGCAGAGCCACCCCCCCCCCCAGGCTCAAGCCTCCTCCCCTCCAAGCCACCCCAGGGCTGTACATAACTCCCCCATCCCCTTGACCACGTATCTCCCATTTAGTGACCACCTCTTAGGCCCATCCCCTTGGGATCCGAGCCAACCATCCCGCATCACACACTTTGGTTTGGGGGACTTCTTCGTGTTTTTTTTTCATTTGTACAGAGAAATATTCTTTTCAAAAGCGTCTTTTGACTGAAGTAACTTTTCTGGTGCTGTTGTTAACTTGTTCGTTCCTTTTTTTAATTTATTTCCCCACCTGGGTCTCCCCTCCTGGTTCCTACTCACCCTTTCTTCCCTCCACCCCTCCCCGCCATCCCATCTGACCCATTTTGTTTCTTTTCTTTCTGTCCGTTTTTGGATAAATTCTCCTCTCCTCCCTGCCCCCTCCACCCCCCCCCTTGATTGAAATAGTCACTGCTACGAGTAACAAATGCACTGTGAAGACTCCAGTATTAATAAAGTTGTACTGTAATTAACAGCCCTGCCTCTGCCTGGCTCCCTCCACTGCTGCTCCTGGCCCTGTCCTACCCCAGATCCGGCCTGGGGAGCACGGGGTCCGTGTTGCAGGGGCAGGAGGGGCCGGGTCTTGTGCCAGGACCTATGCTTTTGAACACCTCCACTCTGTCCTGGCCAGGTGGAGCCAGGGAGGGTGACCAGGGGGCACGGAGGAAGACCTCCCTGACACCCTGTGCCCCTCGGTCTGTCTCGCTGAGGCCCCGACTGCTAGGGCAGGCGTGGAAGAAACTCAGGCTCTCAAATACCGTTTCCAGGCTGCCAGGGTAAGGCTTCATCCATTCCAGATCCCAATCTTGAGACCTAAGCCCCAGGGCCCGACCAGCCCACCCCACTCCTGCGTCCTACCCTTGACCAGCTGGAACTGGAACGTAGAGGCTCGCTGCCCTCTGGGGTTCACCTTTGCAGATGCAAACCAAGCCAAAACAAAACAAGCAAGTGTTTAATAGAAAATATAAGAGGAACTGGAAGAGCATCCACTGTGGCAAGACGTGGTGTGTGGCTTCCTGCCCTCTCCCCATGCTCACCCCCCATCCGGCACAGTTTTCACTGCTGTAGGCCACGGGAGATGCTCAGCGCCGCCTCCAGGCAAGGGAGGCAGCCCAGGTGATGCAGGAAGGGGAAGAGAACTCTGTCCACCTTCAGGTGCCCCCAGGCCCCCGCTGCTCCAGGTGAGACCAGGTGAGGTACAGAATGCGGGAAGCTGAACCCTTCTCAGGCACAGAATCCCCTCAAAGGAAAAACACTCTCCTGGGGGTTCCTCCCCGCCCTTGGGGGGGGGGGGGCGGCTCCTCACCACTGCCCACATAAGTCTCAGGCTCAACCAAACTGTGGGAGCACCTCCAGCTGCCCCACGCAGGTCACTACACAGGCTGCTAGGGCCAAGAGGCCCCGGCCTGTGCCCTCAGCAGCTTCACTGAGCCGGGGGTCCGCGCTTGGATCCTGGGGCGTGGGGCAGGGAGACGGGGGGCCCCTGGGACAGAGGGTATAGCGGGGTAGCCACGCACTGTGATGAGGGCTCTGGGCTGTGGGGCTGAGGGCTCGGCACCTCACAGTCCTGCCAATTTAGGACGGAACTTTGTTTACCTGCAGGAAACAGGAAAAAAAAGACTGCAGGAGTGGTCAGCAGCCTCCCTCGGCCCCAGACCAAGCCCCGTTGTTCTTGTCCCTGTACCTGGGGCCCATCTTGGCTTTCTGAAATGCCCTATAGCCCTGGGGAGTGGAGGAAATGCCCAGGGGGGTCCTGGTCTGCTCAGTGACCCTGCTTCTGAAGCCGGGTGTCCTGCCCCCAGCCCCATCCACTTGTTCCTTACAGCAAGAACAGTACAGCAGTTCCATGACCCGGAAGCAGTTGTCCAGGAGGGCTTTGGGTTTCACCAGCTTCAGGCTTAGCCTCGGGCCACTCAGGAGTGACACTACCGTGTCCACCTTGGGGCCGACCTCCACATCCTGGAAGGGAGGAGACCGTCAGGACCACGGGTGCCACCCCCCCTGCCAACCCCAGTGAAGAGGCAGGGCCCACATCCCAGGAGAAACCTGGAAACTGCCCTGCGCGGAGCTGCACAAACCATGGAGGCAGGGGACTAACTGTGACCGGGGGGCCTATGGGTAAATTCTCTCTTCTTTCCTGCAGGCACCAAGTTACCTGGGAGGGTCCCCCTCGACAACTCTCACCCAAGCCCATCATCACAGAGGCTTTTTTTCCATCTTTGGAAAAATGATTGTAGGGGGCATCCTTGCTGTTCTAGCCCAGGCCCGGCCACCTGCACACAAGGAGTCCTGGGCCCAGGAGACTGTCCTTCAGGATTCAAAGATCTCCACTGGCTGCAGGGAACAAGACAAAGGACCCTGTGAGGGCCGTATCATGAGGACACCTGGGTGCCAGGCACCCCGGGCTGGGCCAGTCTCCAGCTCCAAACTCAGGGTGCTTCTCTCCATAGTACTTAACGACAGGGGGCACGGTGTGGGGAGCAGGCAGGCACACTTGGGGGACGGAGCAGGGGGCCAGAGCTAGTGCAGGAGACATGGCCTAGAAAGGAAGTGTGGGGCCTGAGCCAGGCAAAGACCTTCCTAAAGGCAGTGTACTGGGTTGAATTATCTGTCCCCCTAATCCCCCCTCCAAAAAAACTACGTCCAACCCTGGGACCTGTGAACACGACCCTATTTGGAAATAAGACATTTGCAGATGTAATTAAGGATCTCCAGATGAGATCAGTTTGAATGTAGGGTGTGCCCTAAATCCAATGACACGTCCTTGTAAGAGGGGGTGCTAGAGGGAAAGGCCATGTGAGGGTGGAGGCAGAGGTTGGAGTGACGTGGCCACAAGCCAGCAAGAGCAGCAGCCAGCAGAAGCGGGGAAGAAACAGGAAGGGTCCCTGCTCCCTAGAACCTTCAGAGAGAGCGTGGCCTTGCTGATATACCCTCAGTGCAGGGTTTCCGGCTCCAGGTCTGTGGCAGGAGACTTTCCATATTATGCCACCAGTAAGTGGTCATTTGTCACAACAACCCAAAAAAAGCCAGCCTACAAAGGCTTGGAAAGAGAAGCGAGGGTGGCAGGAGGGAGAAGGGGCCTGTCCCGTGGCCCACTCCCCGGCAGGGAGAACCCACTGCGCACCGGATGCTGGGCATATTTGGAGCGGGGCACAGACCATTAACTCTGTGAGAAAGAAGACAAGACTTAAAGCTGGTTAAATCTGAGCCACGTGGGCAGACGAGGGAGGCAGGCCTCCGCCCACCCACAACCTCCTCCACAGCTCCCAAGGGCTCAGAGTCGGGCTCTCACCAGGAAAACCAAGGATGCAAAACTGTCTCTTCAGGTCAGCTCCAGCTCACATTGCCCATGGGCACGAAAGAGCCACCAAGGAGACCACTGGGCCTCCTAGCCTCCGCCCAAACCAGAGCCTCCCCAGAACTCCCAGCAGCCGTGGGCTCCTAAACCCTAGTGTGCCCCGCAGCTCCCGGCTCTGGCTGGGCAGCAGCGGGGGCTCCCCGGGGAAGGCTCCTACTGGGGGAGTAGGACAAAATGGGAGGGTGGGGAGGGGTCCCGCGGTACACCCGTGGCCTGCATGGGCTCACGCTAATCTGTAAGTTTATTCTGCAGGCTTTTTAGATGACATATCCCTGAGGCCTCAGATCAACCCTGTGGGGCAGGCAATGATCAGGAACCTCTATTATTATTATTAAAGTCCATAGTTCACTTTGTGCCGTACATGCTATGGACTTTGACAAACACAGGATATTACAGTGTCCTGGAGAAGCACTTCATTACCCTAAAAACCTCCTGTGTTCATCCCTCCACCTACTCCCTCTCCCCCAAAAAAGAAACCTCCAGAAACAAAGCTACAGGGTTCAATGACTTACCTGGGATCCCAGAGCAAGAGAGAGCCCAGAGTACCCCCTGCCCCCAGCCCAGGCCACCCCCTGGGCACTGGCCATCTCTTCCTCTCAATCATCTTCACCACACCCTTCAGGACATGCTGAAACTTTCCATGTGTTCAAAGCCTCCCTCAACCACCCTTGGCCACCGCGCACGCATGAGCACACCCCCCCCCGCCCACCCGCAGCGGGGCACAGTTCACCGTGAGGCTTTGCTGCACGTCCAGCAGCAGTGTATGGACCTCCTCCAGGTACTTCCAGGATGGGTGGCCCTCGAGCAGCACTTCCTGCACCGACTCAGTAGCGCTGAGGCTCACCCAGACCCACAGGTACCGCAGCTCCTGCTGGCTGACCCGAGCCTTCTGCTGTGGGGACAGGAGAGATCACTGAAGCCCACAGACACGGGTCTCTGGGCCCTCCCTGCCACTGCTCTGACCAACCCCCACCCAACGTGTCCCCACAAAGAGAGCAGAGCATGGGCATCCACGGTGGCCAGGGAGCAACCTTGGGCCTCAGCGGAGGGCAGGCTTGCTCACAGAGCTGGGAAAGGCCCCTGGCAGCAGGACCTGCCAAAACCAACGTGCCTCTCAGGCTGGGTCCATGGGGTGTCCCAGGAGGCAGGGGTCTCCCAGCCCAGAAGGGGATTCTCACCAGCCTGGTGATGTTGGCCATTCTGAGCACCCCCTCATAAGGCACGCTGATCCTGTAGTTGATGGGGAAGTAGTGTTTCTGGGGAAGTACAAGAAGAAACCATGAGGTCAGAGTCAGAAACGGCTCAGGCTCCCCCAGCTCCCAGACAGTCTGATGTAGAAGAGGGCCAAGGACCAGCCCTTTGATACCAGAGGTGGCCTTCTAGAGAGAATATGCACCTGGCTCCCCACGGGAATAACAACAGCTCTCTTTCCTCTGGGGCACAGGGAAGGCTGAAACCAAACGTGGAGTTCCTATGACAGCAGAAATTTCATGCCAAGAAGTGGTTGAGGGACCTGCTACCCCCAGAGTAGTATATTCTTTGGAGGTGAGGAAGACTACCTTAAGTAAGATTACTCTAAACTTATTATGGTGCTGGTTGCAGAACTCTGCCAATAGGGGCATCTGGGTGGCTCAGTCGCTGAGCGTCTGCCTTCGGCTCAGGTCACAGTCCCAGGGTCCTGGGATCGAGCCCCGCATCGGGCTCCCTGCTCGGCGGGGAGCCTGGTTCTCTCTCTCCCACTCCCCCTGCTTGTGTTCCTACTCTCACTGTGTCTCTCTCTGTCAAATAAATAAAATCTTAAAAAAAAAAAAAAACTGCCAATAGACTGAAAACCACGGGGTTGTACACTTAAACAGGTGAATAGTAGGGTATGTGAAGGACATCTCAGTAAATCTGTCAAAAAAAGAAAAAAGACTTCCAGAGCCACAGTGGCCCATGGGCTTCTCTATTCTACACAAAGGGGTGCACATTCCAATTTCTAGGTCCTTATCTGCCCAGCTGGTAATAAGTGCCTGGGGTTCCCCCAAGGCTTCCTGTAATCCACTCCTGAGTCCCAGGGTGAGCGCCATGGAGAGGCAGGATCAAATGTCAGACCAAGTAGTAAGGGTGGAGGGCCCTGGGGATGGCTGGCAGGGAGGGGACGGTTGGTGTGGACCAGGCAGAGAAAGGGGCCCTGGGCTCAGGGCTGACACGGACCCAGGGCGGGGCCCGAGGATCCTACACCCTGTGAGGCCGGGAGCTTGGGCAGCGGACACAGCGGGTGCCCACAGTTACCATGTACTGCAGGCGGTTCCTGTACTGCAGCTTGTCCCGCAGAAAGCCGGTGACAGCGCACTCCTCGGTCTGGGTCAAGGGCCACATCTCCAAACCCCCGTTCCCCAAGGCCATGCCAAGGAGGATCCCAAGATCTGTGGACCGAACCCAACAGCAACACATGAGCACCCTGCGCCACCGCCACGCTGCCGGGGTGTGCAAAGCTGTGCGCGTGTGCCCTCCCTTTTCCCAGCCATGGGAGGGGCGGGGGCGGGGAGCCCCAAGGAGGCCTTCCCCCCTACCAGGGTCCAGGCTCACACAGCAAGGCCAGGCGAGCAAGAGCAGTCCAGCCAGTGCACCCCTGCCCCCAGCCAGCAGAGCCCGCCCCGCAGTCCCATCCTGAGGTTGGTGTCCAGTCTCCTCCCCACTCCTGCCCCATGGGGCAGGCACAACCTCCTTTCCAGGGCAACCTCAGCCCCCACCCCCTTTAGGGCTGGTGTGTCCTCAAAGCCTGGGTCTGCATTTCCATCTGGTGATTCAGGAGGTCTGGATGCTCGTTCCAACTCTGCAAATGACTCTTGAGTGACCGGAGCCATTTTCCTCCCTACTGTAACTGATCTTGGCTTCCCCCTCAGACGTACAAATCATTGCAGCCCTTCCAATGCGCTCACTCTAGGGAAGCCAACCAAGCTCAGGCTGCCGCTTCTCCCTGCCAGCAAACGAGCTGCGGCCTTCCGAACATTACCAGCCTTCACCACTGGGGGTCACTGTGACTTCAAAAACAGCTTTTGTAATTTCCCGTAACTCAACACACTTACAAAAAATACCTGAGGAGTTGCAAAAAATATGAACAAGCATCAAACTCATCAGAGCAGAAAGAAAACATAGATGGGCAGGAGATGTATCCAACAAAAATCAAACTCACCAATAAAGGTAAATATATATATATTAAAATAATCAGATGCCATGTTTCACTTATCAAAATGGAAATTGGGCGTTTTATTTTTTAATTTCATTTTCACGACACTTGGTTCCGGCAAAGTAGTGAGGCTCTTATCCTGGAAAGCAATTTGGCAATTTTTATTTTTAGTGGACTTAATAATGTCCACACCCTTTGACCCAATAAGCCTTGAAAATTTTCACATCCTTTGACCTACTGGAGCACCTGGGTGGCGCAGTCGGTTAACCATCTGACACTTGGTTTCAGCTCAGTCCCTGATCTCAGGGTTGTGAGATCAAGCCCAGCATCAGGCTCCATACTCATCAGGGAGTCCTCTTGGGACTCTCCCTCTCCCTCTGCCCCTCCCCACCCCTCTCTCTCTCTCTCTCTCTCTCTCAAATAATCTTTAAAAAAACAATAATAAACAGGGGCGCCTGAGTGGCTCAGTCGGTTAAGCATCTGCCTTCGGCTCAGGTCACAATCCCAGGGTCCTGGGATAGAGCCCCGCATAGGGCTCCCTGCTCAGTGGGGAGCCTGCGTCTCCCTCTCCCTCTGCCTGTCGCTCCCCCTGCTTGTGCTGTCAAATAAATAAGTAAAATCTTTTTTAAAAAGTAAAGTTTAAAAAAATAATAAAAATAATTTTTCACATTCTTTGATCCACTGAACTCATTTCTAGGCATAAGCCTGAAGGAAAACAAGAGAGCCCTCACCAAAAGATTCGTGGACAAAGAGTCCTGTGGCGGAATTCTCTTATATGAATAACAATCTGTAAATGGCCCACATGTTCATTAATGAATGTAGCCAATAAAAACCACATTGTCAAAGAATGCTTATGGTATGCTTATGTGATAAGAAAAGTACTCGTGATATGCTTAGTTAAGTCTTAAAAAGCATGACTCCACACCTCTCCTCTGGGGGCACCGCTTGACACGAATTACCCATGTCTGCATGTGTGCGGGGAGATGCGGTGCGAGTGGTGAAAGGAAAGGCACCAAATCTCTGTGGGAGATTTTTATGTTCTTTGTATTTTGTAGGACATACCTTATACTCTACGATCAATACAATCAATATCCAAATTACTGTCACAGTCAAAAGCAATACTTTGTTTTTGCTTTTTTCTTTTTTTCCCCTCCCAAAAATAGCCAGGCAAGCCATGATCTCCTTGCCCCGCCCCCGGTCCCCAGTAGGCGTCACTGACCTGACTTTCTCCCTCACCTCCCTGGAACTTCGGGAGACTTCTGTTCTCACTCCCTCACTGGCCCGGGCCTGCTCCTGGCCACCTCTCCTTCTCCTCGGCCCTGCCTCCAGGACTTTGCCGTCCGGACTCTCACCCGGAGCGCGCTAGGCGGCCTCAAGCCCTGTTCGGAGGAGGACGCGCTGCAGCCCACAAGCCCTTCCTCTCAGAGAAGGGCTATTTTTCAAGGTTGCAAATTTGTAACCCATCTTGCATTTCCTCTCTCTTGTCTCTTCCCAAGCGCTTGTCCCCAGTATTTGGACAAAAGAACAGATAAACAGAAACCGAGCCGGTGTTTCTGCCTGCTTCCTATCTTGTCTCTAAGTCGTTAAGCCCCTCAGCTTGGCACCCCTGCAGACCAAGATCATTCCTGGTTTACAGTTTTTGCTCACACTTTGCCTCGGCCCTGGGTAACCTCCGGCATGGCAGACCTCTTTCAAGGCCTCACCAAGACTCCTTCCACCACCCCCCACCAGGCTCTCCCCTGCCTGAACCAGCCCCCACAGTCTCTGTCTCTAGCACCATCTGTCTACCTCACTCATTATCTAGACCAGACAACTTGGCCCCTAGTAGGTTAGTCCCTAATGCAGTGAACCACAACATGGTCTTGTTTACTGAGCACTTTGGGGGTTCATCTTGAACAAGGAATCAGGAGCATGCATCTGAATCTTCTGGAAAGCTGGTTAAGGCCCAGAGTGTCTGATTCAGGAAGTCTGGGGTAGGCCCAGAGAATCTGTATTTCTAGCAAGTTCCCAGGTGCTGCTGCTGCTGGTCTGGGGACTACACTTTGAGAACCACTGACCTCCAGAGACAGTTGCAAACTGGTGTCCCAAGGGCCACAGCTGGTTCACAGAGATTTCACATAAAAATCTGAATTTGCAACTTGTCTTCAAAAATCAGTATCTCTGTCCACACCCAGCCTTCCTTCCCATGGGGCAGTCACCCCTGCCTGCCCACGTGACCCCTGAATCCTACCCTCACTGGCCCTCACCCCTGTCCTGACAACTTTGGCTCCTAGCAGGGAACGAGTCATAGAAACCACCGTGTGCCAGCCTGTCATGCATGGGCTCTGCCAGAAACCTTGTCCGTGGGTCATCTGCCTTCCCCCAGACCCAGACTTCCTTTAGATCTGCAGACTGACCACCAACTCCAAATTTAAGCCCCTTTTCAGCTGCCTCCACCCCAAGAAACAGGCCAGCAAACCGGTGACCATGGGGCCAGCACAGCCGTAGCCTCACAGTGGCTCTGCACCCCAGAGAGCCCCACGGCAGTGCAACCCCAACCCTGGAAGGGGGCTACTCTTGCCCCCTCGCCCTCCAGAAATAAGACATCTCCAAGACAGAAGAGGAGGCTGAAGAAAGAGCAAGTGAGGAAGGAGCTCCCTTCCCGGGTCCCCGGCTGGGAGGGAGAGGGGCTGTTCCTCTCCTGGGGACAGCCCCCTTGTTCAGAGACAAATGGGGCTCGTCCACGACCCCACCCGCAGTGACCAAATCTAAACCTGTACAGAGGGTTGAATAGCATCCCCCCGAAAATCCTTGTTCGCCCAGAGCTTCAGATGTGACCTTATTTGGAAATGGGATCTTTGCAGATAACATCAAGGCCCACCCTAAATCCAGTGACCAGGTGTCCTCATAAGAAGAGGACACAGAGACACGCAGAGAGTGTCAGGACGAGACAGACACAGAGCGGGGTGATGCCACCACAAACCATGGACTGCCAGGTGCCAACAGAGGCAGGAAGAGGCAGAAAGGAGCCTCCCCTAGAGCTTCGGAGGAGGCGTGGCCCTGCCCACACCTTAATTTTAGACTTCTGGCCTCCAGACCTGGGACAGAATAAATTTCTGCTATTTTAAGTCACCGAGTTTGTGGCAATTTGTTATGGCAGCCCATCCCTTTACGAGTCCCTGACCTGCAGCCCTCCCTGCCTCCCTCCCCACAGCCGATCCTTGCCAGGGCCTGCAGTCAGCCTCCACCATGCCTTCCGTTCCCACATCCATCTCTGAAACAGACCCTCATCACTTCCTGCCCAAATGGTTGCGACAGCATGGCCGGCAAGTAGCACAGACTGATCTTCTGAAAGTAGAGTAACTTCCAGTCACAATCCCATCCCCAGATCTTGAACCTTCCAGAGCTCCCTGCTATCTCATGAACTGGCTTTTACGGCCTCCCCCATCTGAGCCCAAACTGGCTTTCCAGCCTGGCCTCCCACGGCCCCACTGCTGAACCTTTGCTCACGCTGTTCCCTCTACCTGGGACACTGTCCTCACCTTCCCACATGTACCTGTGTGAACACGGTCCACCTTCAAAACCATTTCAAGTGGCTCCTCACCCTTGTTGCCCCTCTTGCTCCTCGTGACCTGGAAGCATCCAGAACACTGGGTCTGGGTCCTTCTGCCTGTTCTGAATGCCCTGATCCTTTGCAGTCTCCCTTCACAAGGGCCAGCCCGGATCCCTTGCAGGATCAAACCCCAGACCTCATCCATGAGGCACACAGTTCTTAGCGCCTAACTCGGTGCCAGGCACTGGAGAGAGGGGCGCAAGCTAGACCAGTCCTTGTTGCCATGGCAGTAATTCTCCAGTGGGCATGTGGGAGGCACCAGAAAAATGTGCTGAATTTGAGTCAATTCAATAGAATCTTGGAGTCTGAAGGGATCTTGGTCTGGCCTCCCACCAGCAGACTTGAGAGGCTTCTAGACGCTTTCTGTCCTCATTTCAACTTATTTTTCTTTTTACCAACAACACTGTTCCCTTTCTGCCTCTTAATTTTGTTCTATCATGGAGGGAGGGGCAGAGGAACAGGCTGCCTTCTCCCATGTGTCTTGGGGTCCACTTTCACGAGCTCCCATCCCTGGCTGGCCACACCCAGGGAGGCCAGAAATCCTCTCTGCCACCTCTGCCCCACCCCTGCCCGTGCACCCCAGCACTGGTGAGCCTGTGAAGGTGGCGCCGCCCCTTGCCCCCAGTGCCTGCCCCATTCCCTTGACCACCCACTGGCCATGCCCACCCAGCCTAGGACTCGTACCCCCCATGCGGGTCTGAGCTGGGGTTGGCTAGGGCCAGGGTAGAGGGTGGCCATGGGAGTCCTCAAGCTGTTAAGCTGGGAAGCATCTCAACTTCTCCAGCAGGAATGGCCTGGTTGCCATGGTTACAGCAGAGCCTGGCTCTGGGCCAAGGCCTCCAAGGGCCGTCTCCACAGACCCCCCCGCCCCCGCGCCAGTACTCACAGTGCAGCCAGGCGATTCCCCGGGGCATGGTGGTACGCTGTGTCCCCCAGAGAGCAGAGGCGGTGTCCCCGGCCGTGTGTCTATCCACAAAGGCCCAGGTCGGGCCTACATGGCCTCGGGTCAGCGAAGGTGGCCCAAGTCTGGGGAAGGGCTGGCCACAGAGCAGCAGCCCGGCAGGGGGCGGCAGGTGCTCCTGGGGCAGTGCCCACCCTTATCTGCCTGGCCGTGTGGAGGGCAGCCGGGGGGTGGCAGCTGCAAGTCCCATGGCAGCCAGGACCTGGCCTGAGACTCCGGCCTCGGGGTCTTCCCTCTAGAGCAGGAGGACAGAGTCCCCAGCAGGCCCCTCGGAATCTGGGGCCGGGTTGTGCTTTCTCTGATTTCTCCGTCTGCAGCTGCTCAATGTGAAATCTGGCTCTGGAGGGAGAAAGGAGGAGAGAAACGGATTATGTAAGAGTAGTGCTGCCACTCAGCCATCAGCCACCGGCACTAAGAGTCTGTGTGCGCGCTGCACCCACTCCTGGCAGGGGGCCCTGGGGAAAGACCGGAGGCTGGCTACTCGACTGCACACGAGAAAGGACTTCGGAACATCCCAAGGACAGCGCTGGCCCGGAAGTGAGTTATGATGACACCAGCTGACAGCCACGGGCCTCAACAAAAGCAGGACCAAGGAATGAATGGCTGAACTCGTTCAATCAAGGAAGCTTCCTAAATGAGGTGAGGCTGCATGCAGGTCAAGTACCTGAATGACTCAGGCTGCCAGGAGGTTAAAACAGCAGCTCTCTTGGTGGCTTCCTCATGCACAAATCTTGTGGAAAGTGCTGAGTACTTTGAGTACTGAGCCCACCACACATCCCAGACCCCCAGACCCTGACGGAGAAGCAAAGAAAGTAAGAAATGGGGTCAGGGTCACCCTCATGCCATGCTGCAGTCCTGAACCTGGGCACCTTCCGTGGTTCTAGCCCTTGAGCCCCTCCAAAATGGAGGAAATGTGTGAAAGCTGAGGGAGACACCCAGTGGGAGTGACCTGGTGACACAGGAGCTAGAGCCTTTGGGGTGGCACAGAGAAAACCAGGCTGCTCCCAGAGGCCCGGAAACAGGGCCCCTCTCCAGCAAATGAAGCCGGACCAGTGGCCTGACAGCCGTCTGCCTCAGAGAGAAACCTTCCCCACAACTGAGAGGGCACCGCTCTCTTCCTCTCTCTCTCTCCCCTCTCTCATGGGGGGGAGGTGAGGAGATTGAGAACGTGCCTCTCCCATGCCACCCCTAGTCTACCCCATGGCTGACAGCAGGCATGAGGAAGCTCACACAGGGAACAGGTGTGCAAGAAAGTAGATGCTAGAATGTTCTGCATAGTTCAGCTGTGAATACTGTGTTTTAAAAATATATAATCACATTACTATTATTGCACATTCCCAAATCAAGAATTCCTTGTATCACCTAATACAGAATCCATGTTCGATTTTCCCTGGTTGTTTTTAAAATGTCTTTTTTTTTCTTAAGTTGCATTGTTTGAATTGAGAGCCTAACAAGGTCCATTGATTGATGTGTCTCTACATCTTTTTTCCTTTCTTTTTTAATATTAAGATATAATTCACATGCCATAAAATTTGCCATTTTAAAGTATATAATTCAGTGGGATTCTTTTTTTTTTTTAGTAGATTCACAAAGTTGTGCAACAATCACCCACAATCTAATTCCAGAACATCTTCATCACCCTCAAAATAAACTGTATTCATTTACAGTCTCTATTTCCTCCCCCCACCCAGCCCCTGGGGCAAGCAACCACTCATTTGCTTTCTGTCTCTATGGATTTGCTTCACCTGAACGTTTTCTATCAATGGAGTCACACAGTATGTGGTCCTTCAGGACTGACTTCTTTCACTTAGCATAATGTTTTCAGGGTTCATTCATCTTGTACCATGCAATAAACTAGTGTTCCCCTAAGTTACTATGTTGAAGCCCTAGCCCCCATTGTGATGGGAGATGGGACTTTTGGGAAGTAATTAGGGTTAGATAAGATCAGAAGGGTGGGGCACTCGTGATGGGATTCGTGACTTTATAAGAAGAGCCACCAGAGAGCGAGCTTGCTCCCTCTCTCTGTGTGCCCCCACAGACAAGAGGTCGTGTAAGCACACAACGAGAAGGCGACCACCTGCAATCCAAGGGGAGAGTCCACACCAGAAACCAACCATGCTGGTACCCTGATCTCAGACTGACCTCCAGCCTCTGGAACTGTGAGCAAATAAATTTCTGTTCTTTAAGCTACCCATCTATGGCATTTTATTATGGCAGCCCAATCAGGCCAGGACATAGCATCTGTCAGTACTTCATTCCCCTTCTTTTTTTTCCTAATTTTTAAAATTTTTTTAAGATTTCATTTTTAAGTTATCTCTATACCCAACATGGGGCTTGAACTCATGACCCCAAGGTCAAGAGTCACATGCTCCACTGACTGAGCCAGCCAGCAGCCCCTCACTTTTATTTTTTTTTTAAGTGTCAAACATTTTACTCTCTTAATTTTTTGCCCTTTTACAAGAGGATTTTACTGGGGCACCTGGGTGGCTCAGTTGGTTGGGCATCCAACTCTTGATTTTGGCTCAGGTCATGATCTCAGGGTCACGGGATCAAGCCCCTCCTCAGGCTCCACGCTTAGTGTAGAGTCTGCTCGTCCCTCTTTCTTCTGCTCCTCCCCCTGCTCTCTCTCTCTCAAAAATAAATAAAATCTTTAAAAAAAAAAAAAGGATTTTATTATTATTATTTTTTAAGTAGGCTCCACACCCAATATGGGGCTTGAACGCATGACTCTGAGATCAAGAGTCACACACTCTACTGACTGAGCCAGCCAGGAGGCCCCCCCCCCTTTTTTTTGGCTTTTTAAAATAAAGTTAAACAGTAAAACAAAAATTCACAAGTTGCTTCCCTGTCCATCCCCTCCCTCCCACACCCACAGTCTTGGCGCCAGCCCCCTTTCCTTCACCCACTCACACAGACCCAGGGGATCCAACGGAGAAAGCCAAAGTGCTCCAAGTACACGGAGATGCGGAGAAGAGAGGAGATGAGCTGTGTCCACATTCAAGGTCACACTGAGCAAGTCCACACTCTCTGGGTTCTGGATGGTTTCCTCTCATGACACAAACTGAAAAAGGAAATTCCCCAGACCAGATGCTTCAAAGCTGAAGCCCCAGCACTGCCGAAGAATGCCAAAGAAAACGTGGTTGACATCAAAGTCACCCACACCCGTGCCCTCCTCATCCAGGTCATGTCCAGTGTCAGAGCGAGTCTTCTTCTCGGGATCAGTGAGAGCAAAAGCTTGCAAAAGCGTCTCTGACTTCCCTGACCTTCTCCTCCTCCTCCTCCTAAACTTCAGCACTGGCTCTCCAGTGCCCGTCTGCGTGGTGCTTCCAGGCTCGTTGCTGATAAGTTTTCTTGATCTCCTCCTCAGAGGCATTCATGTCCACTCCCAGAAACTTGTAGTAAACTTTCCTTGCTTTTCTTCAGCTCCAGCTGTGGGGTGTTTTAGCTGTGCATGTTCTTATGTTTTCTCCGTCTGATATACTTTTCCACACTCCTGTACTGCTTTTTCAAACTGTTCCGTATCCATGTAACACTGAGCTTTTCCCAAGGAGGCTTTTAATTAAGTGGAATCAAGCTTCACTGCATTTGTGCAATCTTCGATTGCACCATCTAGTCTCCTAAGCTTGGAATGATCTGTACCCCAGTTACAGAATTCAGCATTTGTTTTTATATTGTTGGGGGTCTGTCCCCAGGGCTTCTGTGTATAGTTCATACACCAGCTTGTCATTTCCTTCTTCTTTCTCTGCTTTAAGTGCTTTGGCATTTCTGCAAGCAAGGGAGGCATTTTTGGGGTCAGGGGCCATCTCGAGAGCCCATACAAAAAAAACTGAACTACCTTCTCAATACAGTCTTCCTAATAACGGCGGAGACCTCATACATACAGAGCACGGCCATTGGTGGAATGGCACTGGCTGCAGACCGTGCTTCCGGATAATGACCCAGCATAACTAAATATTCTGCTGTGGTGATTTTGAAGCAATGGCAGGCAGGGCAAACTCTAGGGCCCAGTCCATGCAGAAAACTACTTCCCGAAAATCCTGCTTCTCAAAATCTGTTCCTGTTCTCATGTTCATATATAACCTGTTGTGCCTGAGCATTTCTGTGATCCAGTTCTAGGGCTCTCTGGAAACGGTGACATGCCGCCATGGCATTCCCTAGAGATAGGGGGCATTTGCCTTCCCATGGATGTCCCCAGGACAAAACTGTCATTCAACCTCACTGCTATGCATCTCCAAGAGCTTCCTGAACTTTCTGAGCATCATCAAAGTGGCTGCTCAATTCTAACTACAACTAGCACTTTTAGGACACATATCGAGTTCTTTTGTATAATAGTTATAAGCTTCACTGTAATCTTTCTTGGCATAGTTTGCATTTCCCTTTCCCTTGAAAGACTCTTCACCATGGAGCCGCCATTACCACATGGTGCTCTGCGGCAACTGCCATCTTACCACTGAGACTACTACTTCCTTCTTTTTTACTGTGAAATAATATTCCATTGTGCGGCTACACCACATTTTCCCTAGCCATTCATCAGTTGATGGACATTAGGGTTGTTTTCACGGGGGGGGGGGGCGGGCGGCTATTACAAATGATATTGCTATGAACACTCCTGTACAAGTCTTTGTGTGGACATAGGTTTTTTCCTTGGGTATGTTCTCAGGAATGGGGTTGTCGGGTCATGTGGTTAGTCTATGTTTAACTTTCTGAGGAACCATCAATCTGTTTTTCCAAAGCAGCTACACCATTTTATATTTATATATCCCATCCACAGTGAATGAGTGTTCTGATTTTTCCACATTCTTGTCAACGTTATTTTTTATTATTATTATACCCATCAGTGGGTGTGAAATGGTATCTCATGTGGTTTCTACTTGCATTTTCCTGATGACTAGAGATACTGAGCATCTTTTCGTGTGCTTACTGCCCATTTGTATATCTTCTTTGGAGAAATGTCTATTCAAGTCCTTTACCTATCTTCTACTTAGTTTATCTTTTT